TCTGCTGTTCATTTTCCTAGTTCTATGCTGGGTTACTGTCTGGGAGTCTCTTGCGCCACCTTGGCCAATAACTCAAAGGAAGGTATCGCTTGTCTGGCATTGCTTTTGTTATGTAGCCTTTAGCTATACATGTGGACTCTTAAAAATTATATTGACCCCTTTAATCTTTGATTATACTTTTATTTTGGGTGTTTTAAGACCCTACAGTTGGACCAGATAAAACAATTTATTTTTACTCTAAAGGTCATTTGAGGATCTGTTCCTCAAGGGTAACATGTGCTTGGGAGGAGCCCCTGGCTCCTTTCTTTTACCAGTTCCATCCATGTGAAGATAAGTCTAAGATCCTGCTTGAACATGGCTGGCTTTGCTTGGAAGCATGGAGGAAATGTTTCCTCTGTGTTGACCCTTCTCTTGATAGACTGGCTACTGGGTTCTTTCCCGTCTGGTGGGGTCTCCACAGCCTCCTTGATCAAGAGGACAGGTGACTTGCCACAGTTACAGAACATTTTGAGAAATATTCATAGTCCCCTGAAACTTAGTTGACCTAGGAGGGCATGGAGCAAAAACTGTCCTTTAAGTCCCTCTGACCGAATTAGTATAGGCCTCAAAGTATGGCTGTTAAACAACAAAGAAGGTTAGTTCTACCAGTCTGTTACTTTTAATTACTGTGTGTCATGTAGATAAATCTTGGGCAAAGACCAGTTGTTCTCAGATAAACCTTACCTAGACATACATTTCTTGATCTGCTATGTGTAATTTGTCAGTAGGTTGTAGGACTAAAATGGTTCCCTCTGGTTTTCAAAACTAGCTAGGCATTATTTATCTCTCACATTGTCTCACCCCTCCATCATGGTTTTCCCACTTAAGATGCCCCTGTTCCTCCCCCTTTCTCCCTTACTAATACCCTTCTCCTACAGTCCTACCTCTCTTGAGCTCCTTCTTTCCCTTTATCCCCTAGGTTCCATGTATACCCTTCCCTCCCCCTCCCTTAAACTAACCCAATTTTTATCCATATCTCCCTTATTAAGGCCTGTTTCCTACCGTTCTTCTTTTTCAGGTTCTTTCTTTTCCTTTACCTCCCTATTTCCTTTCCATTATCCTGGTTCCTTTAGTTATATCTGGTTATATACTCATTTATCAAGGTCTGGGTCTAGGATCCACATGTGAGGGAGAACATATGTCGATTTTTTTCTGCGCCTGTGTTACTTGACTTAGTGTAACAGTTTCTAGTTCCATCCATTTACCTGCAAATTTCATGATTTCATCTTTCTTTACTGCTGAGTAAAACTCCATTGTATAAATGAACCACATTTTCATTATCCACTCGTCAGTTGAGGGACACTTAAGTACTTTGGGTATATGGCAAGGAGTGGTATAACTGGGTCAAATGGTAAGTTCATTTGTAGTTTTTAAAGAGTTCTCCACACTGCTTTCCATAGGGGTTGAAACAGTTTGCAGCCCCACCAGCAGTGAATGAGTGTTCCCCTTTCCCCACATCCTCTCCAACATTTGGTATCATTTGTTCTCTTGATCTTAGCCAGTCTGACTGGGGTAAGATGAAATCTTAAAGTGGTTTTAATTAGCATTTCCCTAATTTTTAGTGATGTTGAACAACTTTTAAGATGTTTTATTGCCATCTTTCTCTTTTGGGAACCCTCTGTTCAGCTCCTTAGCCCATCTTTTAATTGGGTTGCTTCTTGTCTTGATTCTCCATTTTTTGAGTTCGTTATATATTCTGGATATTCAACCTCTGTCGGATGTGTCGCTGGTGAAGATTTTCTCCCATTCTGTGGGTTTTTTGTTCACTTCCCTGGTTGCCTCCTTTGATGTACAGAAGCTTTTTAGTTTAATGAGGTCCCATTTGTTAATTATTGCCCTTGTTTCCTGAGCAACTGGACTTGCTGTTTCTACTACAGGTGGCTGGTGCAGAGCCAGCCAGCATCAGCCTCTCGTTAAGAACAGACCTTCTCTCTTCCTTGGCTCTCCGTCATTTCTCCTGGTGTCTCTGTTAGGATCTTTTTCTGGAAGAGAGCTGTGTCCCTGGATCTTAGCTGTTGAGTTGCATTTGACAACAGAGCACCCACAACCAGAGCACTCCAGAGTTGGAAGGTACATTTTAGATCAGGAAACCGAAGCATCTAGCAATCAATTGATCCACAGTGCTGGACCTGGAACTCAGTTCTCAACCCTCCTGAATCCTAGGCCAGAGTTCTCACTCAGTGACTTTGACTTAGGGTTTCAAAGAACTCTGCTTCCCATTATCCCCAGATAATAAAGTTGGACTAAGTTGAGACCCGGGCCTTGTTCCAGGGGGCTCATGTCCTCATATTTAAAGGAAATCAGGTTCTTCTTGGGGTCTGCCTACCGAGACCAAATCTAGGTATGGCTGAAGAAGTGTAGTCTGGGGCTGTATACCTTGAGTTTTTATTTCTTTGTTTAATATGGTAGATTTTTG